TGGAGGGGCCGCGGGGACACCGGCGGCCAGGCAAGGGGGTGGCGGTCGCTCCCCAGCCCCCGCGCCGTGTGTGTGTCCCGTCCCCCCCCCTCCCGCACTTCACCCCGTGCGGGTCCCCACGCGTGGATTACTCGCTAAAGGGATTGCGCGCAGCCAGGGCTGTGGCTGTAAAACCCCGCTCACCGAGGATGAACACCGTAACCGAAAGCCCCGGGGGCTCCTGGAGCATCTTGGTGTGTGCCCATCCCCGCACCCCCCGCGGTTAGAACAGAGGAAGGGATTGGGGTGTTTTGTTCCCTTTGCTTCGCTCCCCCCAGTTTACCCTGGGACTGGTGCCGCTCTAGAAGGTGCTTCCAAAACCAGCAGACAACATTTCTACCCGGCTCCCTTCACGTTAGCCTTTGCAAACCGAGACCATACTTTTCCCCTGATGCATTCTTAAACCCACAGCCAAGGCAGATAGGTTTCAGTAGATGCACATTTTATTAGAGAAAATGAATTGGAGCAGCTTTGCACAATGACTTCAATTACAGTTCAGTAATACAATCAATGCTGAGATCTTGTCTGTATTCAAGACACGAACTCATCCGTTCAAGGTCTTACAGGAGAATGTATTAAATAAATATACAAATACTGTAGCATTAAAACATATATATATATATATATATATATATATATATATATATATACACACACACCACTCCACTCTTGTGGAGGTTCTGCGTCTCTAACAAAATCAAGTTTAAAAAGTACTAACCGAAAAACTATTTTGCCTTCCAGTTGGCATCACCGCAGTGACATTTTTACTGAATCCTTGTGGTAGTACTCAGCTCCATCAAATAGTTTACCTAGATTCACTGGGACCGGTGCGTTTTCACTTGATTTACATTACCTGTGTGTATGAAATACACTCAGAGATATTAAAAACAGGGCCAAAAATAGAAAACCGTAATTATGTTAAATGGTTACTGTAAGTGATGATTTGTCCATGACATGGTCATGTTCTGTAATTTATTTCTGAGAACTGAGCCCAGAATCGCTGGCCTGTTTTGCCACTGAACTGGTGGGGTAAAGGACCACTTTACTCACACAGGTAATTCCTAGAAGCAAAATTACAGGTAAGTTTTCTAGAGCAGCCCTTTGAAAATAATGTCACTTTGATTTACAGTTATTTAATGGAATAATGTATCAAACCTGCAAAGCATAGTATAATTCCCTTTGGGACTAATAAATACAGACATACCTGGTGTATTGGGTCAACCCACCACACCTGGGCACCCAAACAAATAACGGCTGATATGTTATCAACACATGTCAGGGATTATAACCAGAGGAAGGGCTTGCACACTGGAAAATTACTCTGTTTTTCCAGCTCTCACAGCTCCTCTAATGCAAGCTATTCTCCCTCCAAACCTTGCCTCAGGAATAATCACTTATTTCAAGAGGAAACATCCCTAGACAAGTTCATATGGATCTCCCAGAGACAATGCCAGTCAAAATTAATAACCTGCACCCCAGGAACTGTGGCACCTGGCTATCACAACAAGCCCCTTTGGAGTCTGCTCAGGGAATATGTCCCTTTCACAGGGCCAGTCGAAAGCATCCAGACACTCAACTGCGCTGTCATCTGCATACGAATATAACGAGTAACAACATAAAACAGATGACTTGCCAGCACCTGTGCCTGCTCCCTCACCTCTGTCCTTTTTTCATTCTGCCTGCTGTCCCTGCCTGTGTCTGAACACACACTCACCCTTCTCTCCAATCTGCAAAACCCCCTTCCAGGGACCTCCTCACATAAAGGTAACATTTTGCCTTTGCTTACAACCACCCCGTGACCCGTCATTGATTAGATGAGTCCCCACAGGCTCCGGGAACAAACCCCAGCCCCTTAGAGGGACACACACACACGCTCCAACCGTCACAGATCTGCCCCCCTCTTTCAAACACCCCTCATAAAACCTCACATCCATTCTCAACCCTCTTCCTGCACTTCCCTTCTCAATCCTAGAGGCCCTTTCAAAAATTCCCCTAGACAGTAAGTATCCTCAGGACTGTGGCAGGCAGTCTTCTGGGGACACAGCCTAGGGGGGCTGAGGGTGGACACCGCACAGAGCAGAAAAAAGTGTGCTCAGCACTCGTAAACTTGCTGCCTCTCAAGCGGTTGCATCCATTCTGCCGCTCCTTCATCAACAACAGGGAGCAGCACTCCTCTGATGCCTGGGAGAGATTACGCTGAATTTAAATTCTGCCTTGATTAAAACCCAAGTTTCTAGCCCTTCTAAATGTTGTGCTGCAGTGTTCACATCCTGAATTTGCAGGCAGATGGGATTATGCCGAAGTGCGGAGAAAAAGACAGACTTGCCCACATTCATCTTGCTGAAAGCCTCACTGAAAACCCTATGAAGAAAATGTGCATTATTAATTGATACAGCAGGAAAATACAGCTGCTCCGTATAGCATTTCAGTAGAATATAACTACTTTCTCTGCGGCTTTAACAAATGTGAGAATCTAGTATAGTATCTCTATGTGTGGGTACAAAGGAGAGAAAAGGGTGAAGAGAAAGTGAGAGCATGAGGGTGTTAAAGGGGAAGAAACAGCTAGTCTAAGCAGGGAATTTTAAAGGCAATTCTTACTCAGCATCCTTAATTTTCAGAGTCTGATGAAAAGTCTCCGAACGCTCTCTTGAAGAGCAGTCCTATGAGCAGAAAGCCAAGGTACTTGAGAGAAAGGATGCCATGCAGGATAGTGGGGCATACCAAGTGCTTTGATGTGCCACTGATATTTTAACCAAGCACACCCCGACAAAGAATTTATTTGTCCCCATACTTGTGATTTAGCAAAAAGTATTTTCTACCCTGAGCACGTGCACACATGCGATCAGTCCCACACACTCCACCACATCCACACAAAACCTTACCATTCTCTCGAGCTCCCACTTGCCGCTCAGCTCTTCTAATCCAGTCAGACCTGTTGTCATACCCTCTGACTGGGATGCTGGGGTTTTTGCCACCCCTCTACCTGGTCCTCACAGCACCATTAGTGGCTTATCCCACTAATGGTTTTCTCCTGTGACTGGACAAGTGGCTAGTAAACAGGACTCCTCTGGTTAGGCAGCAACAAGGGGCTGCATAAATACAATTCTTTTAAGACTCTCTAACAGCTAGTGCCTGTGAGAGGCTCATGCAAGTTGTGCAGAAGAAGAAACACTGTCCAAGCAAGAGATTCTCTGTCTTTCACCTAAAGGCAAGCTGCATCCCCAATGCTACCTTACCAACACTTCCGTGGGGAGAAAAGGATCATATACTTCTGCCCTGTACAGCCATCATGCTGGGGACATGAATAATACAGGCCTCATCTTCTGCATTTTCAGCTTTGCACCGGCCTCCCCCTGCTCTTGGGGACCAGGCCAGATGCAACTGGCTGATCCGAGCTGTCACAAGCTGATGAGCAGCAGCCAGTACACACCATTACATAGCAGGAGTGGCAGTGGTGGGGGTGCTGGGAGCTGTCATTCAGTGGGACACTCCCATGCAGTGAAATGAGCGACTCGACCCATGTGGGGGTCTCACACGCTGAGAATGAGCAACGGGGGTAGTCTGCAGAGGCTGCATTCATACACACACACGCACGTACAGGCACACTGCACACCTCTGGTATACCTGACTAAGCACGTCTCGGGGACATCCAGTCTTTTCCCAAATACTCCCTCTTTGGCCATCCCTACCACTAGCAGCGGCTGTGGAGCTGCAGCTTCACCAAATAAAAATACAATACTGAGATATGAAGAGACATACACCAGCATCTAGAGGCTTGAGCTGCCCACAGCCCTCCCCCTTGGTGGTGGCAGGACTGGTCGTGTCTGCTTCGACACGTTTTGTGGGGACAATGACCCCATGGATGACAGGAGCAACTCCTTTTTTTTTTTTTTTTTTTTCTTTGCCATAACTAAATAACATTCCCATCATGGCAGATGGCGAGGAAGCTATCTGAAGCCGAGGAGAAACCGAAGGGGTTAAAGGCAAATCCGTGCCTTCTCCACTCGTTAATTCCCCAGAAGCCTGATCCTGTGTTGAGATGATTCAGGCCAGAGAGAGAGACTGCCACAGTCCCCAGGGGACACCCCAGAGAAAAGACTCATATTTCCTGTTCAGGAGGATTAAGTACAAGGCCATTGACAAATCACAGTAAACATCTGGATGTGAGCGCTCCCATCTATCAAGGCCTAATCCATGAAGTTATTCGTTAATGAATTCAGCAAATTCACACAGTTCTATATATAGGGTCGGCTGATCTTTTTTAATGTTTGGCTTGGAGGTGTTCTACATCTATATCAACAGATTTTTATTTATTGTGCAAAGCAATCCACTGCATTCTGTTTCTGCTTCATTAATTGTTTAGAGTAATTATTCTGCCTTTTTTGAAAAACCACACACTGACATCTTTTCTGATAGGGTATAAAAAAAACCCCGATAGTTAAAACCGAACCACGGTTCTTGCATTTTATATTGTTTTGCAATTTTAAGCCCAAGTTCCTCTGGAAACTTTCCATCCCGCAGCGATGGAAAAAACATTAAATAGTAATTGATTTTCTTTTCTGTATTTTGTTTTGATTAAAATGAGAATCCCTCTCATTTATCTTCAGAGAGAAAGTAAGCACTGAGTAAATGGTCTGGTTAATTCAAAAGTAATTTGATCAGAACATCCATAATTTACATTGACTTGGACAGTAGGAAAGATGCTGAGCACTACCAGATATCAAGCTCATTCATTTAAACAGATTTACTTACATTATGTTTTATATCTTGTGAATGTAAACTACTCTAAGGACATATAATGATCCACGTTTTATAAGGGGGGGACTTGCACACAACTGTGCCCTTAAAAGTCGTCTGTTCAGCTTGAGTAAGACTCCAGCCTGCTCACAGGCAAACCGGGCC